TGAGCCTGCTCTCTACCATGAGAAGCATCACATACAACCTCTCGTCTGGCATGCCCAGAACCCTGTCATACTTCTTGGCTGAAAATCAGCCTAATCAAAATGGAAAATGACAAGGGGAAAAAATACACCAATGGGAATACAAAAAAATGATTTTGATTCCAGCTTCTTTGCAAAAAACAGAATATTATCCTTTATTCATGAAAAGTTGATATTTTTCATTTAAATTTTCTTAATTTGGTGGATTACACTGATTTTCTAATGTTAAACCAAGTTTGCATTCCAGAGACGAACTCTATATACTCTAAATTTTGTTTATATATTACTGATTTTGATTTGCTAGCATTTTGTTTAGGATTTTTGCATCTCTGTTCCAAAGTAAAATTGGCCCATAATTTTTATTTCTCACACTGTCCTTGTTATGTTTCTGTATTAGGTTATGTGTGAGCCTGTCTGTTTTCAAATGTTAGGTACACCTCATCATTGAAGCTGTCTAGGCCTGGAATTTTCTTTGTGGAAAGATTTTTTAAATGACTGCATTGATTTCACTCATAGTTATGGAACTATTTAGATTTTATATTCCTTAATGAATCAGTTTTAGTACATTATGGTTTTCTGGAAATCGTCTATTTTTTCTAAAATTTTGCAGATATCGACAGAAATCTGTTCATAATCTTTCCTTTCCAGATGTGTTTCCAGCATCTGTAGCAGTCTCCTTTTTATTCCTGATATTAGTTATAACAAACCCTGACTTGGTCATCTTGCCTGCCAATGTCATTGCAGAATTGGCTGGATGACCCAATCTTGACTCAGTTGCTACATGTGCAAAGCAGAGGCCCCTGGATGTCCTACTCCTGCTATGTATGTATCATACTTACACAGCACATACCCTTACCTAGCCCAGTGTGTATGGAACCAACAAGTCCAGATCCTGCCAGACAACTAACAATATCCAGGGGCTTTGCATTCCTCATTTGGGACAAAGACAGTTGTGGTCCTTTCTTTTCTCCTCCAAACCTCAACCTGTAGAACCTTCCTAGACTCCATGCTTTATTGGACTGCTTGCTTGCCAGTAAAACTCTTCTACTCAGCAATCAGTCTTGGCTAATGGACTTCATTATTTTTTTTTCCTTTAAAAGTTGTTAGTGCCTTCTCTTTTTTTACTTTAGCATTCTTGCTGGGAAGTTATCAATTTCATAAATCTTTTCAAAAAGAACCATCTTCAGTCTTTGTTGTACCTCTAAAGTGCTTTTCTATTTTATTAATTTTTGTTCTTATCTTTATTATATTTTCTATTTTGTTTTGCTGCTCTATTTCAAAATTCTTAGAATGGATGCTCAACTCAGAATGGATGCCTTTTTATTTTGTTTTCTAATATATACATAAAAGCTATCAAATTTCTCTAAGTACTGCTTGAGTTGCATTTCAATTGATATTTACATAAACTTTCAATTCAAATTATTTTGAATTTTCCTAATTTCATCTTTGACCCATGGGTTGTTCAAAAGTATATTTGTGATGGTTAATTTTAGGTGTCAATTTGACTAGGTTAAGGGATTCCCAGATAGCCGGCAAAACATTATTTCCAGGTATACCTGTGAGGGTGTTTCCAGAAGAGATTGACATTTGAATTAATGGACTGAGAAAGGAAGATCTGCCTTCACCCAATGTGTGCAGGCACCATCCAATCAGTTGATGGACTGGATGAAACAAAGAGGAAAGGTATATTCACTGTCTTCTGGAGCTTGTATATCCATCATCTCCCCTGCCCTGGGGCCTCAAAATTCTAGGTTCTTTGGCCTTTGGACTCTTGGACTTCCACCAGCAACTCCTCTGGATTGCAGGTCTTTGGACTTGGACTGAGAGTTACACCATAGCCTCCCCTGGCTCTCAGACCTTTGAACTCAGATGGAGCCACACCAGCAGCTTTCCTGGTTTCCCAGCTTGTAGATGGCATATTGTGGGGCTTTTCAGACTCTATGATCACATGAGCCAATTCCCACATTAAATATGCTGTCATGTATCTACGTCTATACATCCTATTATTTCTGTTGCTCTGGAAAGCCCTAATACAATGTTCCTGAATTTCTTATGATATTTTTAGTAATGTTATTAGTGTATAGGTTCACAGCATTGTATTCAGAAAACATGGTCTGTGTTATTTTATTTTACTTTCTTTTAAATTAATTAATTTATTTTTGACATGGAGTCTCGTTCCGTCACCCAGGCTAGAGTGCTGTGGCACAATCTCAGCTCACTGCAACTTTCACCTCCTAGGTTCAAATGATTCTCCTGCCTCAGCCTTCCGAGTAGCTGAGATTACAGATAGCACCACCATGCCCGGCTTATTTTTGTATTTTTAGTAGAGATGGGATTTCACCATGTTGGCCAGGCTGGTCTTGAACTCCTGACCTCAAGTGATCTGCTTGCCTCAGCCTCCCAAAGTGCTTGGATTACAGGCATGATCCACTGCATCCAGCTGTCTGTTTTACTTTACTTGTAAATTTGTCAAGACTTGTTTTATGGCATGTACATGATAAAACTTTATGAATGTTCCATATACATATGAAAAGAAAGCATATCTTGCAGTTGAGTGGAATGGACTTTATATGTGAATTATCTCAAGCTAATTAATTGAGTCATTCAATTTTTACAGATCTTTACTTTTTTTTTTTCTTTTGGTATGCCTTGTTCTAATAGTTAACAAGAAACATGTTAATATCTCTCATAATGATTGTGGACTGGTATATTTTTTATAGGTGTCAATGTTTTGCCTTTGTATTTTGAGGCTATATAATTAGGTTGAGACAAATTTTAAATTGTTACATCTTTCTAACAAATTTAATCCTTTGTCATTTAAAATTTAGCCTATTTTTAATAATGATTTTATGGTGTAACAAAAAATATATATTTAGATTTTGTTCCTGTTACTGGCACGGAGCTTCAAAAAATCTTTGAAATTTCCTGAAACATAATTGTCTTTTTCATGCTAATGAGATGACTCCAGGGTGGAGGGAGGGAGCTTCTGCTTCATTTTTTCCTCCCCTTCTGGAAATCTAATTTTATGTTATGTTAAAAACTTTCTGACTCTAGTCTCCTGTGTTAGTCTCTTCTTGCACTGCTATAAAAAAAACCTGGGAACAGATAATTTATAAAGAAGAGATTTAATTGGCTCACAGTTCCACCGGCTGCACAGGAAGCATGATTCCAGTATCCACTGGCCTCTGGGGAGACCTCAGTAAACTTACAATTACGGCAGAAGGCAAAGGGAAAGCCAGCATTTCTCATGGCTGCAGCAAGAGGAAGAGAGAGATGGGGGAGGTGCTACACATTTTTAACCAAATCTCATGAGAACTCACTCACTAAATAGTACCACAGGAGGATGGTGCTAAACCAATCATAAGAACTCTGCTCCGTGATCCAATCATCTCCCACCAGGCTCCAACTCCAACACTTGGGATTACAGTTTGACATGAGATTTTTGGTGGGGACACAGATCCAAATCCTATTGTTCCACCTCTGGGCCCTCCAAGTCTCATGTCCTTCTCACATTGCAAAATACAATCATGCCTTCCCAATTGTCCCCCAAAATCTTAACCCATTTCAGCATTAACTAAAAAGTCCCAAGTCCAAAGTCTCATCTGTGACAAGACTAGTCCCTTGTGCCAATTATCCTTTATAATTAAAACAAGTTAATTACATCCAAGATACAATGGGAGTACAAGCACTGGGTAAATAGTCCCCTTCCAAAAGGAAGAAATAGGCAAAAAGAAAGGAACTATAGCTAGGCATGGTGGCTCACGCCTGTAATCCCAGCACTTGGGAGGGCACAGTGGGTGGATCACAAGGTCAGGAGTTCAAGACCAGCCTGGTCAACATGGTGAAACCCTATCTCTACAAAAATACAAAACTTAGCCAGGTGTAGTGGCAGGTTCCTGTAATCCCAGCTACTCTGGGGGCAGAGGCAGGAGAACTGCTTGAACCTGGGAGGCAGAGGTTGCAGTGAGCCGAGATTGAGCCACAGCACTCCAGACTTGGCAACAGAGCAAGACTCTGTCTCAAAAAAAAAAAGAAAGGAAGCCCAAAACTAAAAACGAAGCAGGGCAGTCATTAAATCTTAAAGCTCTGAAATAATCTCCTTGGACTCCATGTCTCACATCCAGGGTATACTAATGCAAGCAATGGGCTCCCAAGGCCTTGGGCAGTTCTGACCTTGTAGCTTTGCAGGTTACAGTCCCTGTGCCTGCTCTCATGGGCTGGCATTGAGTGCCTATGGCTTTTCCAAGTACAGGGTGCAAACTACCAGTTGCTCTACCCTTCCAGGGTCTGGAGGATGGTGGCTCTCTTCTCCCAGCTCCACTAGACAGTGCCCCAGTGGGGACTCATGTGGGGGCTCCAACCCCACATTTCCCCTTCACATTGTCCTAGTGCAGGTTCTCCACGAGGGCTCTACCCCAGCAGCAGTCTTCTGCCTAGATATCCAGGCTTTTCCATACATCCTTTGAAATCTAGGTGGAGGTTCCATGCCTCAACTCTTGCTCTCTGCACACTGGCAGGCTTCACACCATGTAGAAGCCACCAAGGTATATGGCTTGCTCCTTTTGGAGCAGTGGTCTGAGCTCTATCTGAGGCCCTTTGAGCCAAGGCTGGAGCTGGAGTAATGGGGATGCAGGGAGCAGTGTCCCAAGCCTGCACAGGGTAGTGAGTCTCTGGGCACGGCTAAGAAATCCTCCTAGACCTCCATGCCTGTGATAAGAGGGGCTGCTGTGTGGGTCTCTGAAATGCATTTGAGGTCTTTTCCTCTATTGTCTTGGCTATTAAGTACTTGGCTCCTCTACTTACTCAAACTTCTGTGGCCTACTTGAATTCTTCCCCTGAAAATAGGCTTTTCTTTCTACCACATGGCCAGGCTGCAAATTTGCCAAACTTACACCCTGCTTCCTTTTTAAATTCCAGTTTTAGGTCATTTTTTTCTGTTCACATGTATAAGCATAAGCTGTCAGAAGCAACTAGGCCACATCTTGAATGCCTTGTTGCTTAGAAATTTCTTCTACCAGATACTCTAAATCATCACTCTCAAGTTCTAAGTTGCACAGATCCCTAGAGCAGAGGCACAACGCAGCTAGGGTTTTTGCTAAGCCATAGCAAAAGTGACCTTTAGTTCCAAAAGTTCCGCATTTCCATCTGAGACCTTATTAGCCTGGACTTGATTGTCAACATCACTGTCAGCATTTTAGTCACAACCATTCAACAAGTCTATCTTCTTCTGAGCCCTCCATACTCTTCCAACCTCTGCCCATTACCCAGTTCCAAGCTACTTCCACATTTTCAGGTATCTTTATAGCAACACCCCACTACTTGGTTCCAATTTTCTGTATTAGTTCATTCTTGCATTGCTATAAAGAGATACCTGAGACTGGGTAATTTATACAGAAAAGAGGTTTAACTGGCTCATGATTCCACAAGCTATAGGGGAAGCATGATGCTGGCATCTGCTCAGCTTCTGGGGAGGCCTCAGGAAACTTAGAATCATGGCAGAAGGCAAATGAGGAACCGGCACTTCACATCCAGGAGGAGGAGAGAGAGTGGGTAGGTGTTACACACTTTCAAACAACCAGATCTTGTGAGAACGCACTCACTATACAGTACCAAGAGGAGGACAGTGCTAAACCATTCATGAGAACTCGACCCCATGATCTAGTCACTTCCCACCAGGCCCCACCTCCAACACCTGGGATAACAATTCAGCATGAGATTTGGTGGGGACACAGATCAAAACCATATCACCTCTCTTTCATATTTCACATCTCTTCCTTCCTTTGTGCTTTTGAAACTAATGTCCTCAAATCTCTCTTTCAGTTCACAAATTCTGTCTTTCTAATTTGTTCATTTTAATCAGATTTTAATTTCAAATATAACATTCTCATTCCTAGATGTTCACTTGATTGTTTTTTGAATCTGCTTGGTCTTTTTGGTTTTCCTTTCCTCTAGCTTAGATTTTCTTTCTGAACATAGTAAATGTAATTATATTCTAAGTTTGATAATTTCAGTAAATCAAATCTTGCTATGTTTGTTTTTTTATGCTAATTCTTGCTCATGTGTGTAGTCTCTTTATATACTAAGTAATTATAGATACTGCATTGCCCATATTCTCTGGAAAATTATTTGTGGATATTCTTTTAGAATTGCTTTAATCACCTCCAAGGCAATTTTCCTGTTAATATTCTGAGGGTAATATATGGGTAGAATACTTCTGTTCAAACTTACCCAGAATATACAGCCCTCTAGGCTTCTAGATTTTTTTAAAAAAGGACTTATATTCCCTACCTGAGAAGACCCTGGAATTTGTCTTCTGTTCCCAGGGCCCATAGGTCATGTAATTTTAATGAGCTTTACACAATAATCTTAAGTAAGAGTGGCTTGGTGTGCCAGGTTTCCTCATTCACTGAGATTTTAGACGCATACGTCTTTACTATTTTGCTGGATATTCAGCATGTTTACAGGAGAACTCTTAAAAACACAGTTGTTTCAGCTATTTAAAATTATTTATTTATTTACTTATTTATTTGAGACAGGATCTTGCTCTGTCACCCAGGCTGGAGTGCAGTGACACGATCACGCTCATTGCAGTCTCAACCTCCTGGGCTCAAGTGATCCTACTAATGCAGCCTCCCAAGTAGCTGGAACCACAGGTATGCACCACCATGTCTGACTAATTTTTTAAATTTTGTAGATACAGGGTCTCCCTATGTTGCCCAGACTGGTCTTGAAACCATGAACTCAAGATCCTCACACCTCAGCCTCCTAAAGTGCTGCTGGGATTACAGGTGTGAACTGCTGCACCTAACTTTATTTCAGCTTTTAAAGTTATTTTCAGCTGGACAATATATTCTGATATTTAATCATGTTACTTGATAATGGAAATCAATATTCATTATACAAATTATGAATATGCAAATTATAATAAAAATTTATATTTACAGATGAGCCAAGTTTTTTTTTCTTGAAAGATTTTTAAAATTTCCTCAGGACTAATTTTTTTTTTGTATTTTCATTTGTTTATTTTTCTATGCATCATGAGTTCAGCCTCAAATTCTTAGCCAGTTATCTCAGTCTCTTCTCAATAATTTAAGATGTATATACATTCCATCAAATTTAGTCTGAAGTGTTTCTCCTGAAGCTTTTTTTGCCTACTCTTCTGGACTTGCTCCAATGTCCACTATGTTTCACTTCTCATCTGTTTTCATTCTCTTTCATGTTTCTGTTACCGACTACAGGTTCTTGATTTCTCATTGCAATAGAAATTGACATGAGGCCAAAAGAATTTTCCCAGACAAGGCTTCATAGGAACTTATGTTTGGGCATAAGGGAGGCAGCGAGAGAGAACAGAGAGAGAGAGAGAGAGAGACAGAGATACAGAGAGACAGAGACAGAGAGAAAGACAGAGACACAGAGAGAGACACAGAGACAGAGAATTCCCTGACTAATTCTAAAAAGAGCAAGTAGGGCTTTTTTATTAGACTAAGCAAAGGAATTGACATGGGGTAGGGTATGCTGGCTGAGGGCTAGGGCATGTAGCTCAGCACTATCTGTTCATTAGAGTTATCTTGAGTAATGGGCCACCTAGTGGTCTGGCCAGTGGCAACAGGACTATAAATCAATTGTCTAACATTCCTTCCTGAGGTGGAACACTGCAACCTTGCTTATCTCCTAAGACCAGTTCCTAGAATTCTTTAAGTAAAAGGCCTATTAGCAGTGAGCTACTGGTGTGGGTTTTACGATCAGTGGGAATACATGAAGAATGCTCTAGTGGAGGTAAGCTGAAGTCAAGCCCCATCTCATCTCTGTCTCATTTCCAAGTACAGAACATATTTATATTCTGTTCTAACACTTCATTAATAATTTGATTGGTAAGGAATTCCAGGTTGGAAATAATTTTTCTTCACAACTTTGCATTGCTTATTTAACATCTGGCATTTGTGAGATGTCTGACGCTATTCTGATTCTAAGTATTTTGAATTTGTCCTGTTTTGATTTGAAGAATCTTTTCTTTGTCCCTAGTGTTATAAAATTTCACAATTATGCATGTCTTAATGTTGGTCAATGTTCATCTTTTATGCTAGGATACTTGCCAGGCACTTTTATCAATAAACATGTCCTTCCATTTGAAGGAAAGTTTCATGGACCATTTTGTTGATGAGTTCTTCCCTTTGTTCTCTTTGTTTACTCTTTCTAGGATGCCTAGTATTTGAATGGTGAACATTCTACATCAGCACTCTAATTTTCTTATCTTTTCTTTCCTGTGCTCTGTTTCCTTGTCTTTTTCCTCCTTTCTCTGGAAGATATTCTAATCTTTATTTCTTATTTTTTCCCACTGAATTTATCATTTATGATATTCTAAGTATAGAGGCAAAAGTGTTTTTTTTTTTTTCCTGTTCTTGCACTCGACAACACTCAACATGGAAGATTTCTATGACCAAATGTGTGGGGATGTTTCCCCCCTAACAAGCAGGAATCAATTCTGCAGTGGACACCAACTGAGTGTCTTCTAATTCAATTCAGTTCTTATACTATCTACGTGGAGATAGCGTCAGCTCCCACAGGTTGTGAGGGTTCAGTCCCTCAGGATGCCCACTCTGCTACTCTGCCTTAGATGCCAATCACAAGTTCCAGGTTGTTTTACCTGTGCTTCTGATCAACTGTGTATTAATGGGGGTTCAGATAATCTTTTCCTTGGATTTGATTAATTTGCTACAGTGGCTCATGGAACTCAGGGAAACATGTTTACTAGTTTCTTATAAAGGATATTACAAGGGAAACAGATGAAGAGATGCATAGGGTAAGGCATGTGGGAGGGGACGTGGAGCTTCCATGCCTTGTTCAGCTAGCCAGAAACTCTCTGAACCCAGTTCTTTTTTTTTTAACAGACACTTCATTACATAGGAATGATTGATTATCACTGACCATTGGTGATCAACTTAACTGTGAGCCCCTCTTCCCTCTCTAGAGGTTGGGAGCTAGGGCTTAAAGTCCCAACACTATAATCCTGCCTTGATTTTTTCAGTGACCAGCCTCATCCTGAAGCTACCTAGGGGTTGCCAATCATCAGTCAACTCATTAGCACATACAAATGCCTCACTTTTGGAGATTTTAAGGATATGAAGTGTTGTATGCCAGAAAATAAGGACAAAGACCAAATATATATTTTATTATGTCACAAATATATTTCTCCAGAGTTTTGAAAAATGCTGTTTTCCCCTATTCTTTTTTCATGGATACAATATTTTCTCCTCTTTTTCAGAGTATATTAATGGTAGATTTTTTTAGTGTTCTCTCTGCAGAGTCTCTGTTCCCTTTAAGTTTCTTTTTCTATTTATTTTGGTCTCTATCTTTCATTTTAGATGAGTTCTTCAGATGTTTGGTGCTTTTTGGTTGTTTCCACCTTTGGGGCCATATAACCTGTTCCAGCTCTGAGATCTCAGCTCACCATTCTTAAAACTATGGTAGTCTATCGGGCCCAATTTGTGAAACACTGATCTATGTCATACTAGATGAACTTTATCAGATCAGGCATAGACAAAAGTGAAACAGACAAAATGTACTCTTCATAAGCCCTACCTCCCTCTCCCTTAGGTTTCTTCCATAACTAATTCTCCCTCACCCTACTTCCCTTCAAAAGCTCTCTCTTGTCTGGTTCCCTCATTAAAGTCAGCTCAAGTAAAAAACCTAATCATTTTATTCATATACAGTATGAATGACTGATAAGACTAAATATGTTCACTGGTATTTGGCTTTTAAAACAAGGACAAAACATTTCTTGGGGATAAACCAAAGGAATAAACTCTAAGGGTGTAACTTAGTAAACATCAGTGTGAATCAGCAGAAAGATGTAAGAAAATAGACAACTCCCTAAATAAAAGCAAACCTTTTATTCTACACAGTTTGCAATAGAGGGAGAATCTCCACAATGGATAATGTGGCAGAATCCTCATAATCCCAACTGTTGTCTTCTATGATTCACCTTTCCCCTTCAGGATTTTCCTCTAATTATCCCTGTAACCATTCTCAGGCCATGAAGAAGCAAAGCT